CGGCACAAGAGTATAAGTTGGTGGACTTGATGAGATGTTTTGGATTATAGATCAGTAGTTATAAATAACTGTTGTAAGGTCTATTTTATATTGTTTATGCTTTTGGTCTGTATCGGAACATGACATCCCGAGGTTTTTATTATTTAATGAAAAAACATTCTCTTTGAGAAATGTTTTGATAAATGGTTATCATATTTTGTTTTGGGAACAAATTCCTCAAACGTTTTCTTTAAAAGATTTACTCTGATTTTATAAAACAAAGCATAAACAAGTCGGTCTTTTCTAGCCGTGAAATTGGGGATGTCACACTTACTATCTCTCTAAATATGGCAACCATATTTCAAGATTTAGAGCTACCATCTTCTTCTTCCTTTCTTGTAAATGGTGCATCAAATGAAGGTAAATAAATTGCTTTCTATTAAGACTTATTTAGATATGTCTTAATAGCTTAAGAGTAACTTATTAACAAATGAAGATCATCATGTTTTGGTGGTTTACTCTTACTAGGTGGATATCTTTAGAGAACTTCTATTTTGGAGTTTCATGTTACACTTCATCAATTTTCATCTCTCATGAGAATCAAAATCTTCAAATATTGTAAACTTTTCTTTCTATGGTTGTTTTTCTTTCCAAACTTTGCAAGTAGATCTTTTTGTGGGAATAAAAGTAGTTTTATTTTGTTCAAAATTAAAATCTTTTGTTGCTATCTTTGTGTTTTTTGAAATTATTTTTGAATACGTTAATACTCTTAGACCATGTTAAAATTTCACTTTGGTGATGTCGACAAGTTAGGTGTATTCGACAAGAAGATTAAAAATGAACCATAATTAGTTTATTAATATAATTTGGTTGTATAAAATAAAATAAAGATACAACTACCGACTTCAATATCTAAAATCTAACCTTCAATTTTCTCAACTTCAACTACCGATTTTGAAATTTTAAAACAATGGTATTATATGAACAACTTCAATAAGTTGGATGGTTGAATGTGAATAAAAAAATTGTCTAGATATAAACATAACCAATTATTCATTATCCTTCTGAATAATTATCTATATCGAATATATGTCACGTAAACTATAATTTGTTACAGTCAGTAATAATAGTAATAATGATCATATGTAAATAATTTTATTGCTAGAAAATAAAGAACGCAAATTATCCGAAAGAAAAATAATAATAACTGCCCTACTAAATCAATTTTACTTTATTATCTTAACGAGATGATAGTTTGTGTGAATATTCCAATTTAAATGTTATTTAACATAAAAACAAATTGTCCTTTTTATATCATTTATTTATTTAATTTGCACGGGTGGATGGTCATCAGACAACTTTTTGCTTGAAAAGGTAGAGATTTGAGTGACAAGAATAATTTATTATTTAATTACTTACTTTCTCCATCCAAGTCTGTAACTATACCGAATTCAATTAATTACAATTTAGCTTTTGACACCAATTTATTCATATTTATTATACTTATTGATACCTTTTTGAAAATTAATAGACATATAACATCAGATTTTGGATTAAAATTTAGCTAGTTAGTATTGAAATTATAACACCGCCATAATTAAAAGAAAATGAAGAAAAACAAAGTTATTTTTCGATAAGATATGTAATGTAAAATACAAAAAGTTGTTGTAAGGTTATGTTTGGAGTCACTCTTTACAAGATATACTTTTTTCATAGGGACTATGTATGGTCTTGTAGATATGACAACACCCACAAAACCCTTTTCTTTCCAATCTTTTAAAATTATTTATAATATGTAACAAAAGAGTGTAGTTGGCTAATATTTAGAACAAGTTAAAAGTCGAAATAAGTAAATTTTAGGTAGGATATGTTGATTATAAAAATAGTTCTTTTCTTCGACTTTTAAATAATTTGTTTGCTTAAATATTATCACAAAGGTATTTAACGACAAAACCTATCTTTATATATTGAATAACATTTCATTAACTATTAACCTATCATATCACCACTTTATCATTCCAAAAGTTTTTCACTTGATCCTCATATCACTACCATTTCTCGATCACACACTTAGGCGTTGTTTGTTTTGAAAGTGGTTAAATATTTTTTGTTTTTTTTTTTTTTTTCATTTTTACCAAAAACGACGTGCACTTTTGTAGAAAAACAAATGAGACCTTAGTGATAGGCACCACTTCACGTCACATTACTATATTTATACTCTATGTATTAATGTGATGGATGAGAGACAGAGAGAGAGAGAGTTATGGTGAATCGGGGTTCCAACAACAACCATTTTGTCATACCGCCACCAGATTGATGTTCACTTCTATAACGCACACCATATTACGTCCCACCATGGGTAGCCTTACATGATAATGATTTTATTAAACTTGTTACATGTTAAATATTTATGTCGATTTTCATGCATTAAACTCATGAACTCATTAAATATAAACATACATGTGTGGTGAGTTTTTAGTACATGCAATGTATAAATATTAAATGGGATAAGTGACACCATTTGGCACGAAAACGACTTTAATACATGATGGTGATCTTATCAAAATTTTACATTCTATGTTAAATGCTTATATCTATATAGATGTACTAAACATATGAATTCATTATACATAGGGTTTTACACTCTTTAACAATAAAAAAAATTAATTAAATTAAAAAAATTAAATAAATAAAAAACAAAAAATAAAAAAAAAATTGTACATATTATTTGAAAGTGATTACAAATTTTATATTCAAAGAACCATTGATAAATTTTGTTATTAAAGCAAGGATTTACCTATTCAAATTTGTTAACATGTTCCACATACTTACATAGATATAGATATGGTCTCGTGTCGAAAAGTAGTGGAAAAGAGTCCATTTCCATACAACACAATGTTTATCGACTAAATAGCGAATATAAGTTAGCTTATTGTAATTTAGCGTTTAGTGAAACCATAAAAGTAATTTATTATAATTTATAAAATAACTTATAAACTAGTTTATTGATAAGTTAATTTGACTGCTTGAGACATCTTATTGATAAGTTAACGTACAAGCTAAAAACTAAATTTTCAGCTAATTTAACAAATAAAACCTAAAAATATAAAATCTTTTAGGGATAATAACTTGAGAAGACAACGAACTTTTAATTTTGTTCACATTTAATCATTAATTTTTTTTTCATGTTTAATTTACCTCTGAATTATTTGAAATTGTTCGCATTTTATCCTTATAACCAGTTATAACCGGTCATAAGGGTAAAATATGAATAATTTCAAATAATTCATAAGTAAATCAAACACGAAAAAAATTTAATGATTAAAGGTGAACAAAATTTAAAGTTTATTACCCTTTAGAGTCATTATCCCACAAATGGTTCTAATTGTTATTAAGAATAAGCACAAACTGAATATGAAGGTCATAAAAATGAGGATGTAATACTCGTGTGATATATATATTTATTATTCAAGTATTATAAACAACATTTAGAAATACAATAGAAACGATTTTAATCACATAAAAATTGAAGAAACGAAGATTATAGTGGTTTCAGACATACACTTAAACCATAAGCAACGATTTTCGCTACAAATGGTGAAGAAAAAAAAAAGAATGAAGATAATACAGTTATTAAAGAAGTCTTTATAAACTTATAATTATTCATATTTTAAATTATCCTTAATAAAAAATATATAAAAACACATCCCAACCACAAATATGATATGAAAAAGGTAAAATTCCAAACACCCAAAATAGCTCCCCACCATTCCCTTCTAGTATCTATTTTTCTGTGCAATCTACTAAATCATTTACATGGTAGATTTCCCTTTTGGTATTTTTACAAAACTACCCCCGACTCCCCTTTGGAGACATACACTAGAGCATGTCCACATCTAGTATAATTTAGGAATTTCACCCCGTTTTGACGTGACAGATCATGTAGGAGAGGCACCCAACACTCCAATAAACAACACAACAAATTGTCAACATGGGTTTCAGAAATTATTTCCTTTCTTGCACACAATCAAGAACTTGTGTCTTTTGAGTTTTGACCCCCACAATAATGACTTGCCCCTACTAACACCAAAATACACACAATCTATCACTAGACCTTCACAAGATCCAACATGTTCTCAAATAAAAAAATTGGATTCGGACCATGATTAATTATATTTTAGGGCTCTTAACTATCATAAAACAAGTTAGGTTATGGAAAAATAAAGTTTTGTTTATACGAGACACGAGGTCGAAAAATAATGTGGCGTTTGGTTCGCATAATGTTTTTAAATGAATTAGAATCTGTTAAGGAATTAGAATCTGTTAGGAATTGCAATCCAATTCCATATTTTGTTTGGTTAGCAGTAGTGAAATTTGAATTCAATTTCAGATTATGTTTAGTTGACAGAAAATGAAACTGAAATAATATAAAATAAAATTGCCTTTTTTTTTTTTTTTTTTTGCTTATTTTTACTTTGTTTTATAACTTAAATGTAAAAATATATGATATAAATTATAAAATTACTAAACGATGGTGATGGTGACAGCGATGTTGACGGTAGCAATAATGTTGATGATGGCGACAAAGGTGATGGTGGGTAGTGGCGGAGGCAATGACGGTGGTGGTGGTGGTGGTGGGTAATGTAGTGGTGGATATGACAATGGTGGTGGTGATGAAGGCGGTGGCAAATGTGGTAGTGATGGTGATGGAGGTGATGACGATGATGGTGGATGTGATGGTATGGTTGTGGTGGTAACTGGTGTTGGTGGGTGGAAGTGGAGGTGTGATGGGTGGTGGTGGAGGGGGTAATGATGGTGATGGCCACAACAGAAGGGTTTCATATTTAATGTTAAAAGTAAAATGGATAATATGGGAACATTCAACCTTCTCACTTAGAAGAAAACTTTGACTTTGAAAGATTGAACCAAACAAAGGAAAGTGATGGAATCAGATTCCAATTCCTTATAATTCCAATAGATTGAAAACTTTGACTTTGAAAGATTGAACCAAACAAAGAAAGTGATGGAATCAGATTCCAATTCCTTATAATTCCAATAGATTCCAACGAACCGAACGACATATAACTTTCTTTGTGTAAGTATAGTGAAATCTTTTGAAAAATAACTTGAAAGTACCAACGATTAGGATTTAAATAACTAGAAATAGAATATTGTTATGTTGCTTTATCATATAAACAATGTTTAGCTAGGTTAGTATATGAAGAAATGAATTTCAATCGAAGTCTATTGCTCTTTTGATCCCAACCATTGATCTTCCATTCCCTTTAATCAACTTGTTATGAGCTTCATCGATCTGGCCTTCTCTTTCTTCATCTGAAAAACAAAGGTTTAATTTTCAAAAAAGAAAAAAAAAACATTTTGCATAATGAGTATTTATTCCTAATAAATTTTAAAAAAAGGTGGTTAAATTTGTGATAAGAACCTTCCTATTTTGGTCATTTTGGTGATTATTAATGAAGAAAGGAAACGTGTTACCTGAGGGACATGTCAGAGAAAACTCAGTGAGACGTTTAACGCAATCCTTCAATGCTTGAAGCTCCGATTCCTTCTCCAAAAGCTTGGAATTTGTAAGATGCAGTTCCGATTCCAAGTCAACAATTTGATTTTCCTGTTGTTCGATTAGCAGATGGCATAATTTCTGATCAAGTTCGTAAGGGATTACACCGCCGCTTTGATTAGATTCCAAATCATGATCTTGTGATTTCGAGATATGAAGTTTTAAAAGCTCAGATTCAAGTTCCGCTTCTAATTGATCCATTTCTGTTACCTCTTGATGTCGTTCTTCTGTTATCATGCTACTTGCATCACCGCAGTCGTCAGTCTCCATGGATGATTTCTGAAGAACTGATTGATCCCATTTGATATCTACCGATTTCTGATTTAGGGTTCTTTTGATTTCTGAATTACGCGATGATTTTCTTTTGAAGATTTCGTTTTTTAATTCTTGAACGACCTTAGCTGTTTCGTCTACTGCTGTGTTTAGTTTATCGATTTCGGCTTTTCCAGCTGACATCATGTACATTATTCCAACTCCAACTCCCCAACCGAATGATGATTTATCTGAACATATTGAAATGAATCAAAGACACGAGATTTTCTGAATCTAGCTTATAATTCGAAATGGGAAGCCAATTAGTGATGAGTACCCCTTTACATTTCATTGCCTAATGCTCATTGTTCATTAACTAAACTACACTAATCAGTATATAAACTAAAACCAATTAGGTCAAACGAGAAAAAGGTCAAATCTTTTGCAAAAGCAAGAACATACATAACTTAAGATTAGACAAAACTATAAATTTGGTCCTTGTGGTTTGCAAAATCCTTTGGATAGGGTCCAAAAAGTTTCCGGCTTGCATCGAAGGTCCAAAATCAAGGTTTTTCATTGTTTTTGGTCCAAAAAAACTTGAAAAGTCGATTTTACCCTTTTTAATTTCTTTTTTCTATTTTCTTTATTGTTTTTGGTATTTAAATAATTAAAAAAAAATAAAAAAAAAAATCTTACCCAACACACATACTCTCTCTCTCTCTCTCTCTCTCTCTCTCTCCCTAACCTAACCCAGGTTTATTCTTATTCATCTTCCACAAATCCATCGACATACCCCTCCCTTTGATCATCATCTTGTTAATCGAACCCACTACTGGTCCTATAAACACACAATGAAACTCCCTTCTCTCTTAACTGAAGAACATAAAAATTGACCAGATTAAAAAAAAAACAATCAAGGAACTCTTCCTGTTTCTTTCCTTCTTCTGTCCCGATTTTCGGCAGAAGCACCTCCGTCGGAGGTGTTTTCTTGTGCGTTCCCGGTGAGCAAGGGAGCTACAAACCCCCTTCGTTCTCCCTTCACCTTTTCATTGTTCCTACCAAATCAAAAAGAAGATGAAGCAAGGAATTAACGGAGCAAAAAGGCCCTCGCATACCTCCTGTTGGACATCGAACAACCAAAGTCATTACCATTGCTGCTTGTCTCGCCCAATCGAAGACCTCCGTCCCTTCGCAGCCTCTTGGCCGTCGACCCAGGAGATAATCCTTCTCACGACCGATCAACGAATAATCGCGCCCTACGAGCCATCATGCTTCCCTTTTATTCGTTCGTCTGCTTCGTTCGCAGCTTCGTATCCGTCTCTCTTTTGCCCGATCAGTCAAAGTGACGAGGGAAAAAGCCCTAAATTCGTTCGTCTGCTTCGAGATGGGAAGTTCTTCAGTTGAGAGAGAGAAAGAGAGAGAGAGAAAGTGTTGGGTAAGATTTTTTTTTTTTTTAATTATTTAAATACCAAAAACAATAAAGAAAATAGAAAAAAGAAATAGAAAATGGTAAAATCGACTTTTCAAGTTTTTTTGGACCAAAAACAATGAAAAACCTTGATTTTGGACCTTCGGTGCAAGCCAGAAACTTTTTGGACCCTATCCAAAGGTTTTTGCAAACCACAAGGACCAAATTTGTAGTTTTGTCTTATGATTATGAACATAAAAAGCCAAGTATATTACCTTTAACATCAAACGAATCACATTTAGCAGATGTATTTCTTCCGATACGCCTTTTCTTCAAACAGACTGTAAATTTCTTCCCATTCTTCCTCTGATCATCAACTAATCCATCGCCAATTTTCTTCCCAACCCCAGATTTTCTTTCATGGTTTCCTCTAGCACCTTTAATCCCGCCACCACGACCCAATTTCTTCCGAGGATTCTTTGACCCATGTGAAGTACTGGAAAACCTAAAAATCGATGATGCATCTTCTTCCAAAATTGAAGTTTCTGATTCAGCATTCTCGATAGGTAAATCAAGGTTTAGCGGGGAATAATTCGTGGGTTTGCCGTCGTTTTTGTAGAGAAGTTGTTTAGCGAAATACCCAGATCCTGCTATTGCTGCACCTAACAAGACTTGCCACATGGTGTGATCTTAATCGAGAACTAGGGTTTTAGAGATATAAGATAAAATTTGAAATTGAAGTGGTTGTGTTCAAGACTTCAAGGGATTTAAACGAAGTAGGTGAATGCAGTTTATAGATTTGGGAGCATTGAAGAACATTTAGGAAACCGTACCCATCATCAACACATGGAAGTAGCAGAGCCAAATGAGGGGCGACGAAGGGTCAAAGAAAATAAAAGAAAAAGCTGAATTTCACGTGCTTCCTGATTTTGAAAAATGTTTGATTTTTGGAGGGAGTTTTTCAATTTCAAGATTTTTACTGGGGTAAATCAGTAAATGCAACACCTTTTGTGGTTTTTGAGTAAATTGCAAAGTTGGTCCTACTTCTATCTCAAAAAGTATATAGTCGGTCTAGAATTGAAACTTTTATGGATGTTTGGTCTTTATAGTATCTTAAAAAGTACACATTTAGTCCCTTGAGTTATTTGTCGTCTAAAAAAGGATTCAAACTGCGATACCATAGAGATTAAATCGGCATTAAAATTTCAATTTTGGACCGACATTCAAATAAAAAAATAGACTCAAACAAAATTTATTTATACCACAAGGACCAATATTGCAATTTACTCTTGTTTTTCTTAGGTCTGGCAATTAGATCGGTTTCGAGTTGGCGGATTAGCAGGTCAAAATACATTATCTATAAAACATATTGATTGGAGGGTCACGGGTTGGAAACATCAACCCAACCCAACTTGCATAACTCGTTTAACTATATTGGTTCGCGGTTTAGTGGGTCAATTTCGGATCAAACAAGTTATATCATTTTCAGATAACTTTTGACATTTTAAATTTATACTAATTATACAAATCTCTAAATTAATTAATTATTAGCATTTTACAATTACTAGAATGAAAAGAACAACCAAATATTAATCTAACATAATAACTTAATAAGCAATACATGTGAAAGAAGAGAAAAAATTGTATATTGACTATATTCTATATATATATATATATATATATATATATATATAAAATTGGGTTGGCAGGTTGACCCACGAACCCAAACAAATAATTCAATCCAACCCAAGAAATAAATGAATTGATGTGTCAAAAATCTCAACCTAAACTTATTTATTTTCTTATTGGGTTACAGGTTGGATCGAGAATTGTCACCTCTAGTTTTTCTTAAAATGAATTTCTGTAACTAGGGTTTACGGGTAAAGCTTTTACGCACCTCCTAATCCCCGCTATGAATATCATGGAGGCACGGTGAGTACCTGTGACGAGGTATGAAGCACATCCAATAAAATAAAGATAATTTTACGTTTGGAAAAAGAATTGTTATTATTGAAAACAAAAAAACGAGTCTAGTTCATTTTTACGTCCTTTTATTTTAATACACTTTTTTAAGAGAAAATATGAATGTTGCACTCATCGTTACTTTCGATAGCCAATTTTAACATAATCCATTCACCAACGAATTACATCAGGTTTGATAGGTTTTGGCTTAAATAATCATCTCAATTAATGTTTCCTTAATTTCTGTCCCAAATTTATATATACATATAAAGATTTGTTGCATTCAATTGTAATTTTGTTTATATTTGGTTTTTGAGATGTATGACTTTAAATAGTAAGCAATTTTGTACAAATAGTGTATTAAGTTTTGATCATGTTTATATATACACATCTAAATTCCTAGAAATGCCACTAGTTTATCACAAGCGGAGATTAAGGTCGGTTGTTATATGGGGGTTGTGTCCATGATTAGGCTATACTATAACACTAAGTTGACCAAGTTAAGGTGTTAACTCAAGAGAGTGTACGAGAGTGAGAGAATGAATACAAGAGTTCGAAATTGCTTGCCGGTACCTCCACTGATGCAACTATGGTGTTGGTGGGGGAGACATCCCTTGCCTTTTCGTATAAGGTACAACATGGTTTTACAAGTTTTGTCTGCTATGTTCCTTACTGGTCGACCCTAATTGTTTGTATGGTGGAGATATTGGAGCCAATATTCGGATCACGGGACCAAATTCTTTCTCATGGGATCGCAAATGAGTCGGTCTTAGGAGTTATGTAATATGTATTATAGTTATGGTTTAGGGGATCGACCAATAGGTAGGGTATACCACCAATAGCTAGTGTATTGTATTTGTAAGCAACATATGAAATCATGACATTTTGATGATCTTTCATGAGAAAGCGATCATGAAGTAGTTATAGAATTAGATTAGTTATTGATTAAGTGTCTACAAATCCATGACATGAAGCTTATATAGATTAATGATGAAATTGGTGATAAAAACAAGTCCAACATAAAACTTCTAAAGTCATATCATAAATTATTGGGCAAATTGTATAAAATACACCAAGCTTACATAAAATTTTGTTTGGCACCGTGTTTTCTTTTTCTCAATTAAGTCATTAAGTTGACTATTTCGTTGCAAATTTAACCAATAAACTAGTTTGTTTCAGATGTTTCATATTTCTCACTTGCTGACTAGTCAAAAAAACTAATATGGTTTCCATATAAAATGAAAAATATAGAAGTACCAAAATACTACAATCAAAGTTTTATTTTATATTTTAGTTATGAGTCTGTTTTGGGACATACAAAATGAAAAATATATGGAATGTATACCGCACATCATCCACAAAATCCAAAAGAAAAAACACAAAAAAAGAGGATCATCCAAACACACAAAACAGTACCAAAAGATTAAAAGACATGGGATGTAATTCTTCTTTTACTCTTTCAACTCGTATAATAAAATATCACCAATTAAACCATATAAGATGAACTATAAGTGACTAGTTGCAACAATAAAATCAAGTTCTAATAAAGAGTAAAGATATATATATATATATATATATATATATATATATATATATATATATATATATATATATATATATATATATCGACTTTTAATTCTGTCAAATTAAACACATTATAGACCCACTGCAAATCGTTTAAACACCAAACAGCAGGCCACCTTCCTTCCACATATCACCTATGAACAAGAAAAAAAAACAATTTATACTTTAGCATTGGGTTCTTGAATCTTCATGACGCTAAAAAAAATTAAATCTTTAGTGCTAAATTGGTGAAAAAATCATAAAATCACTTCCCCAATTCAAATAAAGATATCATATACAAAATTAACATATAACATGATTTACATTATAGAATCAATGAAAGAACAAATGTTCATAAAGATAAAATCATAAAATCACTTACCCAATTGACCAATTATATTCTTCAATCAATCTGCACGCTTATAAGATGAATGTCTTCTTGCAGCTATAGCATTCTCGTATTCAAATTTCAACAAATTCGGTATATGTGAAGTATCCTTAACATAAAACCACCTACCAAAAAAACTCTCTTCGATCACCGGAAAAAACCCTCTGAGAATCGAATTAACCACCCAAAACCACAACCCACCAAGAAAGATCCCAAGTCCAGCACCGGCGAACACCTGGGCGACTGTATGGTACCCCAAATAAACCCTAGAATACATCGTAAGCAACGCCAATGGCCAGATCACAAGAGCTACTAACAACATCTGCTTTCTAAACAAAATCCCGAACTTTTTGTAAGTCAGCAGAGTCAAATATGTTGCGAAGAAGAACATGTACTGGGAATGACTCGAAGGCCAACCGTGGGAATCGCACATTTCAAGCAGCACGCAGGTCTCCGGCCGGGCTTGTTGGACGTTGGTTTTGATCACTTCGTTGATGAATTGGGAAATTGTTAACCCTAAAGCGAAGAACATACCTTGGAGCTCTCGACGGAAGAGGAAGTGAGAGACAAAGCCACCGAGGCTGATGAACACTGGAACTAGTGAAATCCATGCTAAGAAACAGCCCAATTGATCTCCTTTAAAGTAACGGACATGGGTTAGGGTGATCGCTTTCAGTTGGTTTGACATCGATATAACTGGGATTGTTAGGGTTTGCAGTGAAGTGATCGAATTTGGGGGTTTTTGTGGGTGATTGATCGAAGGCGATTTTGGGAAGAAAAAGGTTCGACGTGGTCAGTAATGGAGGAAAAGGACTGTGAGATCAGATCTATCTGAGCTGTGTTATGATAATAACCGTAAATCAAGGCATGTTAATAAAAAAATCAAATCAAATTCTTTTTTTATAAAAATTAAACAATATTAGCTTTTATTATCCATTTGTTAACGTATATTTATGACTTTGTTAAGCAAATATCATAAAACAACTTAACTGCTAAGTATGATAAAATCAGAAGACTAAGTAATGATTTAATTTGAAAATTATTGAAATATTATATGCTTTGGTCAATCTTAACTATGGAATGTAACGTACATAATTATTTATTTGTTGTATGAAGTGACTTAGCATGTTTAAGGTGCATGTAACCTTTGAATGTGTGATAGATTGGTGTTGGGCTTGGAATTACGGGCTTGTAGTTGTGGGCTTTGAAAAAATGTGTAAATGCCTAAAGTGGACCAGCGGAGGGACTTAAAGTGTAGATGTGTAGAGTTGGAGGACTGAAGCTGGCATACTGATTTAGAGCTTAGCGAAACCATCTCTAACGAGTTCTTTGTTTGGCCTCTTAATGATCTCATTAAGAACCATTAAGAAACTGGATCTAGATTATTCAGATTTAGAGGGTTTGGTTGAACTTTTTTCACCCTCTTAATCGTAAGATGTTGCAAAAAAAGATTTGATTCGGAAAGACATAAGGATGAGTCTGAACAAAAAAATTTACATCTGCTATCATTGCCCTAACAACAAAACACCGTTCGTCTCTTTTTTATTTTTCTCCTTCCTACATATCAAGCACTCCTCCCTTGTTGAAATCCAATTTTGTGCTTTGTTCTTGTTGCTCTATTTATGAAATCCAAATTTGTGCTTTGTTATTGTTGTAATTTCTTTATGTGTTAAAAGCTTGATGAACAGAGCTTGGATCTTTTTTGTTTGCCATCCGGTTATATCTATCTTTAATCTTTTATTAATATTTTAAATTATCCAATTGAGTTTGTCCAGTTGGTACAATTATAGTAAATTCCCCTTCCACCCTAATAAAAAAGCACCAATAAAAGGGTAAAAAGTGTGTTTGTTTTTGCTTGAAAATCTAAAAATAAAAAATGTGTCTTGTTGCTTGTTACTTTTGATTCTCCACAGTTGTAAGGAGCAATGTCACTAAGGATGTCAGCAATGAAGGAAAATATAGGTTACAAAATTTTTATGCACTAAGTGGTGGAAAACATTCAAATAATTCAAATGGTTATGGCACATGTAGCCTATTAAGGATCTATGTCCTTCACATATAGGCAGCATATTATGAACTATCATCCTACAAAACTTTTCAAATGAAAAACGAATTAAAAAATAAAATAAGAAACATACCTTGAAGATTGTTATTGCAAACAACCTTGAATCCTTCTTCAAATTTTTTGGCAGCTAGCATCACAAGTGTCGTGTCTCTGATGGTTCACACCCAAGATTAGCAACTAAGGATTATGGAGAGGGAGGAGGAAAATTTCGGCCAGATCTCTTCGAGGAATATGAGTGTCGAAATTCATAGCACTAGGGGTCTCTTTATAGTGCAGTCAGGAAACCCTAAATAAACTCAAACTCAATATAATAATATTATCTTGAACCGGGAAATTATTCAGCTTACTAATTATCCACATAGATAATTCTAGAAACCATAAAGGCTCTTAAAACCGTCCATAGCTCATGGACAGTTCTAGAATGTCTCTTTATCAAGTATTGAACAATTGCACTTTAGTCCCTGCACTTTTAATTAATTCTTTTAATCACCAAATTAATTCTAATTAATTTCTGATTAAATATTAATTAAATATTACTATTTCTAATTAATATATTATTTCCATAATATATTGATAAATTACTTATTTCAATTCTATTAATCAAATAATAAACCATTCTTTCTCTCCAAATATATCTTGTCCATTGTTAGGTTTGAGAGCAACCCAAAAGGACTGTGCTACCATCAACTGAAGTTTATACAAATTATAGTTATGGGCTTAGACACCTAATCCAAGAGTATCCCACTTGGATATGTCTATAACTATAACCTCTAATATAACTTCCAAATTGATCAACAACTTGTAGCTACCAAAAGTTGTTGTCGAACTCTGACCTAGTCAGTTACGCGTCCTAATATAAGTGATCATATAATCCTCCGTTCTGCTAGATATCATTCGGATATGAGACATGGAACATAATTAATCTCATTGTCTAATACTTTGTTTCCTGGTTTATGATTTGTAATGACAAAGAACTACTAATCGAACACATCAATTTAGTCATGGGTGGGCCCGACACTATAAGTCAACACCAAATCATCGAAGGGCCCAAAGATTTCACTTTTCCCATTAGGGAAAAGGGGACATATAAACTTTGACTTATATTCTTGTACTATTTACTCACCAAATCATGCACAACAATACATTTTATAACATCAAGTTACTAATGCGCTTACATATTATCAGTGCACAATTGATTTGTAAAGCACAACTCATATATCCCCATTTAAAGATTATAAGATATTATCGTCTCAGAATTACCCGTGATAAATTCCATGACGTAATTCTCTAAGCGTGGGTTAATCCAATACTTATATATTCCATTTCAATGTACTCATGAATATTGCAGCAACACTATTGCTATGTCTAAAACTCTTTAGACAATTTACAATCTAATTCATGACAGCCTTAATTCACTACTTACGTCCAAAAGTACGATCGACCATGGACATTGAATAATCGAATTATTCATGAAGTAAAACATGCAAAATGAAACAAAATAATAAACAATTGACAAGGATAGTAAACAATACTCATAAATAATTCTCCATTATTTAATCATCAAATGTCAATTACATGTACTTTGTTACAAGTTTTTAAATAACTATCTAACTACTAAAACTAATAGCATCTCTCAGACCAATGCTCCTAGCATGATGAATATACTTAACCTTACTCAGACCCTTTGTGAGGGATATGCAGGATTTTCTTCAGATGACACCCTCTTTACAACAGGGTAACCTTCTTCTACTCTATTTCCAATTAAATGTTATTTTCTATCGATATGTATCGATCTTCCATGATCTTTTGGTTCCTTAGTCAAGGCAACTGCCCCTTCATTATCATACAAATTCTCCATTGGCTCTTTGATGGTTGTCACAACTCCAACGTCTCCAATGAAGTTCTTCAACCAAATTGTCTCCTTTGATGCTTCGCTCGTTGTTATGTACTCTAATTCACAGGTAGAATCAACCACCGTCTATTGCTTGGAAATTTTCCAAGTAATTGTTCCTTCATTCAGTGTAAACACCCAGCCAGATTGAGAACCAAAGTTGTCCCTGTTTGTTTGAGAGTCGGCATCACCATACCCAGTTACTCTCAATCTATCACTGCCACCAAGCACATGGACCCAGTCCTTAGTTCTTCATAGATACTTGAGTGTGAGATCCCCATTTTCACAGCCAGAAAAGACCGGTTTGTTTATGCTTTATTTTGAAAATCAAAGTATCATTTTAAAGAAAAATGTTGCGGAATTTGTTCCCTGAAAAACATGATAAATACATTATCAAAGCATTTCTTAAGAACTCCTTTTTATTCACTTTAAAACATTGGGATATCATCGTCAATACAGAAACATAAGCATAAACAGACCTTACATTCATTTACACTAGTGATTTTCATCTCCTTAATCTCTCAGTGTAATGTAGCTTCATATCGACACCTGTGATACAAATAAACTTGAGTAGGTTAGGTTGGTAAACCTGACAAGTACATAGGGTTTTCAACCCACAATAATATAATTATGTTTAATCATTAAACAATCAACCCAGTTATCTATCCTCACTATCGTCTTTATTTATTAAGGATCTACCCTAAAAATCATTTATTGTTCACTCAATTATTCCTAATGATTGTCCTAAGGAATAGGCACGAAGTCCATCGTTGCCAATGACATAATTGTCAATGTTATCTACTAAGCACAACTATCAATATTATCATTTAGGAACAGCTTCCAGAATTATGACATTCTCTATTAGGTGCATCTGCCGATATTGTCCTTTAGGCGCAACTGTCAGGGTTATGATGTTCTCTATTAGGCACAGTTGTCGATATTATCCTTAGAGCGCAGCTGGTAGGATGTCTAGAGCACATCATAGATCAAAAAAATCTTTAGGCTGCGGTGCAACTGCCAATGGTCATCTATAGGGTACTAAGTCCATTGCTGCTAATGTTCACCTATATGACATTATGTCCATAACTGCTAATGTTCCTCTATATCAACTTTCATCCCTCATCATTCATCTACCCATGTTTTACCCAACATATTTTGTAGATATAAAATACATATACAGTTTAAATCATTTAAAACATATATAAAATCGTTCATCCAACATAGATAGCAAGTATACAGATAATATGCACACCTAGCACGTAATTTATATAAAATACTTCATATCTATGTGTAAGATGAAAGTAACTATGCACTCACCTGATAAGATGGTGATTCTGAATTCAGATAATGCTTCACTTCTTAAAATAATTTCCTTTGACGAAACATAGTATTATTACCACTAGATTTTAGTTTGATATCTACCGTGACTAATTAATAGTCTTAGTATTATTATTATTATATAAGAGTTAAACAATACTTCTCAACTACTATGTCCAGACAGGGGGCGGACATGAAACACCGGAGGGCAGGACCATTTTGGCATTAAAGCACTTTTGAAATCCAATAACCGCAGGCGGCCCTTCAAACCGGATTCCCCATACCACGAGTAGTTAAAAAGGCATTATAACGACATTTATATAAGTCATAATAATAGCCCAAATATTTATTATATGTTCATACTAACATTACTAATATTAAATATAAGCTATATTTAAAATAGGGTAGGTGTATC